GATTGGATTTCCCGCAAATCCCTTCAGGGTTCTTTGAGGGGGGGAAAATTGGAGAGCTCTGATTTTTATCGCGTACTCCGCTGGTCTATCGGACTCGTTTTCATTTTAGATTGTGCCATCTGTGTTGAAGGCTGTCATTATAATTTTGCAGAGGGAGAGTGCTAAGGCAGACCTATTCTCCTTTTACGTTCCATTTCCAGTGTCTTTAGCATTCTCAGTATGCTTGCAGAAGCTCAGAATTTTTCCTCCAGTTTTCAAGAGAAGGCTAAATACTGTCCTGCCTATCCTGGAATAGGGTGTCGGAACACACCTGAAAAAAGAACTGTGTGTTAGCAATGAATCTGAGAGGGAAGCCTGTCCTTTGACTGGAGAGGGCATTTTTTGTCTGAGAAGTGGTAGCTCAGCTGCTTAGGTGTTGACTCTTAACTCTTTAAGATCTGAGTTTTTTCCACCGTTTCCTGGACTTTTCTGTAGTCACCTGAGCGACTGAGCAGGGAATTGAGTCGTGAATCATGGTAGCAGATGTCTATTTTAGAGTTGGCACTTCTGGATCCAAAAAAAAAAGAGTTGGCTCTTCATGAAAAAATAGGTTATCTGTTGTTGTTGTTGTTGTTGTTGTTGTTGTTATCGATCCTGCAACAGCTGGGCTCTCGTCCTTCTGTCCAATGCCATGTAGTGATAAGTGCAGGTTTGTTGCAGTTGCTGTAATGTTTTATAGGTTATGTACAGTCTTAGTTACATCTTTTTTGTGAGATTAAAAAAGAAAAAAACCGAGAAAGACAGCCTCATGATATGCCCACTGTTATCTGATATATCACCTAGGCCTGCCCCGACAAATGTCCAGACTACGCGCCCTGTGTCCAGTGCCGATCGTTCCAGTCTGGACCGTACTCTGCGGATGAATGTGACCTCAAATGTCCTCGGGAAGTGAGAGAGCAGCCAAAGGTCGAAGGTAAAGTGGACATCATGTTTTCATGTAGCCTTCCCCGTCGATCCAGAGGTCTTTGATTTTCCTCATGGATATGGGACATCTGTTACAAGTCCATGTTTCATCTTTCAACACTTTGCGGTCACTTGTTGCAATAATGCGACAGTGAAAACTGCGCCAGGCCCGAGAAGTTCGTTTGCAGTCACTCTCCAGGCTGGATGACCAGATGGGGTGTTTTGTACTGCTGTCTGTGTGACTGCAAAGTGTTAAAAAGCAAGATAATGATGATAATAATAATATAATATAATAATAAGGATAATAGTTCTAATAATATAAGAAGAAGAAGAAGGATGATAACGATCATAATAGTAATAATCATAATAATGATAATAATAGATAGCATTTGTATAGCGCATAACCCCGCTCAACAGCAAGCTCTATGCGCTGTACACTATATTATTACCCCAGCAGACCATAGAACTCCCAGAAACATTCTCACCTTCTCGGGAAGCACACAATGCAAGCAGCTATATAAGTGCTCAAACACTAATAAACTGATAAGATCTTTCACTCTCTATTGCTGTGTACCTATTTCCACTTGGGTGAAGTTCAGGAATGTTCTGGAAATGTTGAGGAAAATCAAATTTTTTCACTTCCATTTACTTCCATGGCAACCTGTAATGTTTTAGAACTTGGGAAAGTTGAACTTTGATGTACAAAAAGTCCTAAAATCTGAATGTGTGTGGGTAGTTGGCGGGTGCTCTGGTGTGGTTTACTCCTTCGTTCCTAACAAACATCTATCGTCCTGATCTCTCCTCCTTCTTTTGTGTTTGTTACTCTCTTGTAACACCTCTAATCTTCGGCACTTATAGGACCTTATTGTGTTTCAAGTGCCATAAAACTTTTACTAAACCCTAACCACCCCCCAGGGTAGTGCCACTGACTGTAGTGTCTTTAGGCCATTCCCAAAGGGGGGACGTTTCTCGTTCAATCACAGTAGAATTGTAAATGGGCTGATTCATATCACGCTCATAACTGTGCCTGATCTACAACAGGGAACTGCTGCCTTTTCTTTCCTAATCCTTACTATTGTCATTTTACTCTACTTCTTTTGTATGTTAGTCACACTCTTGTGACCTGCTATTTCCGGGGTGCCTTGATAGTCGAAGCAGACCTTGTGCTGTTGAAGCTAGAAAGGCGAGCAGAATATAAGTCTGATTCCCTGTAAAGACTTCTTTGTTGACACCCACCCCTTGGCGCTCATATGACTTTTTGCAGTTGCGAGCGCCGTAAAACCCTCTACTATAAAAAAAATAACCCTAGACCTGAATGTTTGCCATGTGTTGTCTACAGACGGTCCTGGCATCCAGATCTGTCAGCTGAAAGACGAGGAAGAGTGCTGGGTGTACTTCACGTACGAGTATGACCAGGAGGGAGAGGTGGTCCTCAAACGCCAGAAGGCAAAGGGTAAGCTCAGGAGGGGATAGAAGGTTGAACCAACCGCTGTGCAAATCCTCCGAGAGGGCCAGCGGTTCGCGACATCAGTGCTTTCTTGTCGTATCCCCATTTTTAATAACGTTGAAAACAGTTCATATCAAAGAATGAGCTTAGCTCTTTAAATCCTGAGTTTTTTCCACCGTTTCTCAGAGTTTTTTTCTACAGTCACCTAAACGTAGTGCACTATTGTCTCATTATAACCCCAAAAGCTGCCTCTTACTTCTAAATAGCGGAAACAAAGGCTTAGTCATTACTGAAAAAACTTGGTTCGGGAATAGTTCCGAAAAACAAGCAAAGACTAGCACTAAATGAAACGAAACAGTTGTCTCTAGTACTGGACGCTCCCAGCGTCTGATGGGGTTCAAAGAGTTAAGAAGAAGTCACATTTTCACTTTTAATGGAGATACGACAAGAAAACACACACAGGGGTCATGAGCTGTTGGGGAGAAAACTGGTTGTCTTAAACATGTGGGAATTTTGGACAAAATTGTTGTATTGAAGAAAAAGTGCAAGGTGGGAAGTGGCCATTCTGCTGTGAAGAAGGCATTAAAGCATTGACATTTTTTAAACACATTTTTAGGAGTTGAATATACAGAAAAAGGGTGCAGTGTGGAGGAAATGTAAGCATAAGTGGGAAATTGGTCGTTGTTGTTGAAACACAGTGACCTTGGTAGGTAAGCTGTTATTAATTATGTTTATTCAATCTGTCATATTTTTTTTTTACTATAAACAAAGTTGTGAGCGCCGTAAAACCTTACTAAAACAAACAAATGATAAAACTAAATTTGTGGTTAAGCACGTGGTTTAACCGCTCATGTCATGTCTCTGTGTGGGTGGTTGGTGGGTGCTCTGGTGTGGTTTGCTCCTTCTTTCCTATCAAACATCTATCGTCCTGATCTCTTCTCCTTCTTTTTTATGTCTGTTACTCTCTTATAACACCTCTAATCTTCTGCACTTATATGACCTTATTGTGTTGCGAGTGCCGTAAAACTCTTACTAACACCTATGATCATACATAACAAGATGGTCTACTCCTCTCTTTGAGCCAATTAAAAAAGTGTCCTCAAAATTCGGTGGCGCCCTCTTTGCAAATGCGCACCCTTTGCGAACAGAGTTACCACCCTTTGCGTACAGTTGCCCTACTTGTGTGAAAAAAATCAAAGTGAAACTAACATGTTTTTGAATAAATAAGAATTCAAATTTTGGAAGAACACTTTTTTAAAATGGTTACGCTTACAAAAATCTCTTCGGGAGGAAGAAGCGACTATTTTCTTCGTTTAATTTGACTTTAGAATGAGAGGAGAGAGGTCATTATAATAAAAACCATAAAACTCCGCACTGAACGGACCCGAACAGCTGATGAACAGCAGTCGATCTGAGCACGCAAGGAGGTGCTACTCCTATTCTTCTTCTGGAGAAACGAAAGAGAGCTTTAAAACAAAGACTGCAGCGCCATCTGAAGCAATGAGCTGACTTCCGGCGGACACTTTTTTGGCTGAGTGGGCCATCTTGTTATGTACGATCTTTGCTAACATTAAATTTGTGGTTAAGCACGTGGTTTAACCGTTCATGTCATGTCTGTGTGTCGCCAGTGTGCTGGGGTAAGCTGTTATTAATTATGTTTATTCAAAATGTCTTTTTTTTTTTTTTTTACTATAAACAAAGTTGTGAGGGCCGAAAACATTACTAAAACAAACAAACAAATAAAACTAAATTTGTGGTTAAGCACGTGGTTTAACTGCTCTTGTCATGTCTCTGTGTCGCCAGTTTGCCCGGAAGCTGTGAATGTCCTGGCCATCGTGGGCGGAGTGGTCGGAGGGATCGTGGCTGTGGGACTTTTCCTGCTGCTCATCTGGAAGCTGCTGACCTTCATCCACGACACTCGCGAGTTCGCCAAGTTTGAGGCCGAGCGGCAGAACGCTAAGTGGGACACGGTGAGTGCGGGGACGAGCTGGGTGGTCTGCTCCTTTGGTCTTCTCCGCTTTGTGTGTGTCCTATTTACCTTCGTGGGTGGTTGGCGGGTGCTCTGGTGTGGTTTGCTCCTTCTTTCCTATACTTCACTTTTACTTTACTTTTCCGATATAGCGGCCATTTGGATTCTAGCCCTTTGGTCTGTCCGTCTTTCCTATAAAAAATTTATCGTCTCTATCTCGGTGGTTGGTGGGTGCTCTGGTGTGGTTTACTCCTTATTTCCTATTTTAAAAATCGATCGTCTCTATCTCCCTTCCCTCTTTTTTGTGTTTGTTACTCTCTTGTAACACCTCTAATCTTCGGCACTTATATGACCTTAGTGTGTTGCAATTGCCGTAAAACTTTTACTAAAACTAAAACTATTTACCCTCATCAGGCGGTCATGCCGCAGTGTCGTGAGGTGCCAAACTAGGTCACCAGTAATGGTATCATTAGCCCATGCCGGGATAGTGTTGATCTTTTTACGAATTCGTTTGGTCTTGAATATAGCCCAGAAGTGATGACTCTTCGCTAATCACCAGTTCACCTCACTTAACTCTTTACGTTGGTAGTTGACGGGTGCTCTGGTGTGCTTTGCTCTGTCTTTCTTATCTATCAACTGTCGTCCATATCTCTCCTCCTTCTTTTAGTTATGTTACTCTTTAGTAACACATGGGTGGTTGGCGGGTGGCAGTAAGATGGGATCACAAAATCACAGTTTATTTAAAACAACAAAAAAACAAATATGAACGTGGCAAATGATCCCATTAATATCCTTACTGACCTTTGAAGAAAGTTATGACGGGTGTTGAAAGAATATTCAAGTGAGATTCCTACTATTTCCGAGTGTCGGCTGACGCTGTGCTCACAGTTGTCCGAGTGTCAGCTGACGCTGTGCTCACAGTTGTCCGAGTGTCAGCTGACGCTGTGCTCACAGTTGTCTTCTCTTTTAAAACTAAAAGTATCAGCGTCAGAAATTGGCTGAATGTGAGAGCAGTCTTGAGGTGCTAACGCAAAGTATCGGCTTTAGAAATTGGCTGAATGTGAGAGCAGTCTTGAGGTGCTAACGCAAAGTATCACCGCTAGAATCAGTGGACTGGCTGTATTTGAGAGCAGTACTGAGGCCCTAACACAAGGTGTCAAAGCTGGGACGTATATTGTCAGATGATTCTTATGCTAAAAAGGATATGTGAAGCATGCTGACAAAATGAGTTACTTCTCGGAATTGAGACCTATGGAAACAGATACGCCACGATTATAGGTGAAGTTTTTATAATTTATAAGTATGAAATATTAAAAGGCTTATTATACTTGAAAAATATGGCATCAATAGAAAATCTACAAATTTGATCCTTGTGTCGATTTTTGGCCAATATCTCCTTTTGTGGATTGCGAGAAGTAACTCATTTTGTCAGCACACCTCACATATATACCGGCGTCTGTGGGGGTATCAGTGAGGGGCTTTGCCATCTCAGGCAGGAGTCCTGAGTTCAGTTCTCATTTGGGGAGATGTTTATTTATTAAGAATCTCTGCCTTTCTGCTGGGATGTTGTTTCCCCTCTCAGCCTTGCCACCTCCTAAATGGTCTAAATTGTGTCAGGTGAGGGAGAGGGTGGGGGATTTTAAAAAGCACCTACATTTTTAAAAAGGATATAATATTATGTTGAAACGACCAGGTTAAAAGGAGAATATTAATTTTGATCCTATCGTATGAGTTGTCTGTTGTATTAAAATGTCGGAGGTTCTGTTATTTTGATCCTGAATAAGTTTCTCTACAGGGTTGAGTTGTCTGCAATATTAGGATATCTGAGGTTCTGTCGTTTTGATTCGAAATCATTTTCTCTCCAGGGCGAGAATCCAATTTACAAGCAAGCGACGTCGACCTTCAAAAATCCGACGTACAGTGGCCAGTGAGAGTGAGGGTGTGGCCTGTCTCGTAGAGGGAGGGAGGGAAAGAAACCTGTCTTGTTTTCGAATGAGGGGAAAATGGGCGAATGAGTGATGTACGTGTATGCCTCCTGCGAAGCTGAGAATGTTTCTGAATGCGCTGAGATTGTAAAGTGCATAATGCTTGCTGCTGAGTGGGGATATGCGCTAAACAAATGCTATTTATTTTTATGATTTCAACAAAAGTCTTTGGGGGTTTTTTTGAGGGGAGGGTGGGTGTTTAGTATGTTTTGTGAGGGTGTTCTGGTGCGTGAGAAAATCTGCGCCGCTGCTTTAGTCAACTGTCTCTTGGGTGGCAGGTGTTGCTGCAAAGTGTGACTGGATGACTTGTGTCCCGTGTGTCTTGAGTTGTCAGTCTATGTTAGACGAGTCGCTGGTTAGAATTGTGGAGTCAAGACGTCAGTGTGTACCAGTCTAGCCTTTGTGCTGAAACAGTTCAGCACTTCCAAGTGGCACTCAGAGGACCAAGGTTCAATTCCTTTGTGGGAAGAGAATGTTTATAGTGGCTCGGTCTCCCTGCTGGGGCCTTGTGTCTGTCTGTGCTGGGGTTGGCGAGACAGGCAGGGTCAAAGCATGACTTCGAGATTACCTAAACTGTGTCAAGTGGGGTGTGAAAAACAGCTATATTTGTGATGCTTTGTGGTGAAATCAGGTGCTCGTCAAAATGATTAAATTGAAGATACCGGTTTTTTTCTGCTGGTTTTGCAAATTTTATCGATTTTTGGGGGGTTTTGGCTCAACACCTTTTATGTCCATTTAACAGCACATTTCTGTATGGATGGGTTTTACCAAAAAGCCTTGATTAAAAGCACAAAAGCTGTAAATTTTGAAGTTTTCAAGGACTCTCAAGCTATGGAAGTGACCAAACTGTGACGGCCATTTTCTCGCTTATTTTACCTCTGAGACCAACCTCCTTCAGTTACAATTATCTCGACTTCTATTCAAGATAGAAGAATTATTTGTTTTTCCCATCCAAAGCAAGGCAAATGAACCGGCTTTACGATGATACCAGTGACTCCATATGCCGAAAAATTAACAAGCGCCTGATTCCAGCATGTTGTGACTCATCTATTTTTTTGAAAAATTCTTTAGTGGATGAAAATATGCTGCTCTTTATTTTGAAAAATCTTCCAGGAGAGAATGTCTGTCTATATCCAAAGGGTTCCCATCAAGGTGATATCTGTTAGCGGGATGCCAACAGTTGGAAAAGAATGGGGCTTTTTCTTATCATGTACAATGATGAAAGTACGATTGATCAAATGTATTAAAGATTTTTTGAAGGTTAGTAAATATAATTGACCATTAATTTACTAAGTGAAGGAGACATGTATTTTCTCAAGTCATATGTCATCTCCCCCCTTTCTCTCATTAAAAGTTGTCCATGAGTACTGGCCTTCAGAATTGGTCGCTTTTAAGGACAAGCGGGCTAACCCAGATTTCAGAGGTTTCCAGAAATCTTGACCTACACCAAAAGTGTTCATTGCTCTACCTAGGAGAAGTTTGATTTCATTGGTGTTTATACTTGTTTGGTTATAGAGAAAACTCTCCTTGTCTTTTAAAGAAACTGAACTAGGGGAAAAAACTTTACCTTCCATTTTCTCAAAACAGCATTTTTCGGGATAGCCCCCTTGTTCTTAAAAGCGACCAATTTGACGAGCGACTCACTGACTTTTGCTGGCATGTATGGGAGCCGAGGCCCGTGGTTACACAGGGGGCAAAAAGACTGTCACGTGCACAAACTTTTATGTCAGCCCCGAATGTGTTTTGTTTTGTGAAGTGTCACGTAGAAAGGACATGAACTTGTTCTGTTTTTGTTGCAGCGTTTATGATAAAGAGGTTTACAGAAATTAGCCTAGATTTGTTGTGACCTGTGAAACATTTGGACCCGTAGACATTATCCTCCCAAAGGGTCCCATTTTAAAAAAATATTTCCAGGTCTTTCAGAATTGATTAAAAATGTTGGATATACGTTGCTCTGAGCCAAGTCACAAAGAATTTTAAAAATACTTTTTGTGTTGCATTATTTTCTCATTGCACTGTTGGTTAAGCTAAAATCTGCTTGATCAATTGTGATAACTTTTCATCTGTCTGTTATGAAAGCGATTAATTACAGTCATGGACCGGGGTAAAGACTAAATGACTTCCTTTGAAAGATTGAGCTGTGGCAACTTCAAACTTACCCATTTCAGCATCAAAGCAGACTTCATTTCATGGTTTAGAATAGTGCTTTAGAAAAATGATTATTTTAGAAATTTAAGCAAAGTTCTGCTTTATGTAGCTTTGTTGGATTGAGTCTCAGATTTGAACTTATTTCTAGTTTCTTCAGCAAGATTTTTGTTATTTGAAAATGAGATCCCCTCCAAATTGATTGGCTTTGTTGTGATGATTGGTTAGGACAAGTCACAATAATAATATATTAGGCAACTTGTTTTCAGCTTTTTTGCTGCGAGGCAGTAAAATTTTATTGTTGAATAAGTAATGGATAGCAGGAAAAGGTCACCTAACTTTGAGCTTCGGAGTTCTATATCGAGTGACGGAGTTTATACGTGGATACAAATATGATGGAATATGACGTAGTAAAATTTGAAATGGATTGTAATTAATATCTTGGTAGTTCCATTTAATCACACCATTTTTGAAGAGATTGAGAACACTTTCAAATTGCTGTAGCATTGCGGGATTGTTTTATTGGGGTTGCCTGTGGAAGTTCGTCACTTTAGCTTAAATAAGAATGTACATAAATTCATGGTGAGGCTCATATGTAGGCAGCTATTGACATTTTGGTGCCTTTTCTTGGGGAATTGTGATGCCTATTGGGTGTGTCAGGAGCATGAATCAGTGTACGTCCTATATATATATAAGTGTACGTCCTATATATAAGCCAAAAACTGAGGCTTTTCTCCTCGTTTCACTCATTTTACTATTTGAAGTAGATGGTTTCCAGAGACGTACTTTCATCCCCCCCCCTCCCCCCTTCCTTTTTTAAAATAATGCATTGTCTCTCATAGTTTTAAACAAGGTGCAAATTCTCATCCTGCTGAATGGAAAGTTGATGAAGAGATCTGATGATTGGAGGGTTATCTCAATTGTGGCTGTGACAGTGAGACTCTCTGCAGATAAGGAACATTTGGCTGTGTCTCCTCCTATAGTCCATGGAAATTTTTGGCGGGTCAGCCTTTCTCTTGTGACGGCCGCAGCCAAAGTTTGATGTGTCACCCTGCTGTAGCAACAGCTGCTGTTGTATGATGGGGAAAGAATTCTAATGAAACCTTCGTCTGTGGTGACCCCAGCTCTTTTTATTGACGTAGCAGCGTCTGCATGGCCATCTGAAGGTTTCCTGTTTCCAATTTATTCGAGTGGATATTTTGTTACTCTTTGAAATGAGCAGTTTGTTCTGCCGTAGTATTTTATGTTGTTGTATTATGTTACCACTCTCTCAAATTTACAGGTAAGCTTTTCAAAGCCTGGAGAGTCGGTATTTGCCATTATAGCATTTGTTCCCATCTGACCCAAAAATTGCTTACATAACCAAAGCAAGCTGCTCATTCTTCTTTAATTTAAAAAATTGTTTGATTATTTTGTTACTTTGAAGGGGTAGACCCACAGAAGCTTATTTGGAAACCTTGAACGAATGGGTGAAGGTACGGGGAACATCAGGAGAATGTAGGTTTAGTTACCTGTATTACCTGTCCTGGGCAACAACGTCATTGCACACCGGACAGTTCCGTAAGTGCTCAGTTCCTCCCAGCACCAAAATGTAGGTTTTTGTGAGCGTTTCCAATCTGGCAAGTGAATGGAGAACCTTGATCGCCGCCGATGTCTAATTTTAAATCTGGCACTTTACGATGGCGATGATGAAGACTTGGAGAAGGGTTTGAAAGTTGTATGGAAGTGGTTTGACTGCAAACAGCCATACATGTTGTTTTCAAATCCCTTTAGCTGCAAGCATTTCGCTCTTGGCAGCGCAATGCCTCCCTCAAGTAACCACATGTCCTTACCATCTGGTCAACGCCAGAGTAGAGCAGGCTTTGTAAGTCTGTAGGTGTGTGTAGGAGCCTGCGTCGAAGAACTGCCAGGTTTGGGTAGTGAAGGAGAAGATGTTCAACGGTCTCCTCGTGGTAGTCACAGTGTCTGCAATGGGGTTCCCACATGGGGTTAATTCTGTTTATGTGCTTGTTGGTGTGTAAGTGTCCTGTGCGGGCTCTGAAAGTCAAAGTCTGATCGGCTCTACAAAAGAGAACAGCCATACATAAAGGCCTTTGTCTCATGGGACGTGTCTCTACTTACATTAACAATTGTGGACTCTGACACTAACTACTTTGTCTGCACATGCATAAAGAATATGTGGCTTGTGAATTGGAAAGGGGGGGGGGGTGTTGACAACTTTGTCCGCACGTGCGTAAAAGAGTATGTGGTATGTGAATTGGAAAGGGGGTGGGGAGGGTGGTGGTGGGGGTGGGGGGGTTATTAGCTCGGATCCATGCTCTGAAATGAAGTATACTTAACCACTCAGCATTTTGTGTGTGAGCCTAGAGTACATGCATGTGTTTCTGTCATGAACTCTTTACATGAGTTCTTTGCGCTTGATTTGTGGACTATTTATCATGATTTTAATGCCTCATATTTGTTAGTACATAGAGTACATTCATCAGTGACATTTTGAGTTCTGAATTTTTTGTTTGTTTTGGTTTGTTTTGTTTTTGTTGTTGTTTTTTAAAAAGTTTTAGAATGATTCTAATATAGCAGGAAGCTTTGATCCTGATGTTTGATTTGTGGTGAGAACTATAGAAATGTTTAGAATCTATAGTGATATTACACTGTTTTCTGGATCATCATAGTCAAACCACCCGTCATTACCAAGAGAAAAAAAGGTGAATAGTTAATTGTTGATGCTAGGGTCTCCGTGTGTGTAAAGGAAAGAGATGGTTTAAGGTGTACAGGGTTACCAGGGTATACAATGGTATCACAGAAGTATTGGAAACTGTCTACCTCATGAGACCGTCGTGTCTCTACACCCCAAGGGTAGTCGAATCAATCAGCGACATATTCATTCTTCCTGCTGTCGGGGAAATGGTGTAGTGGGCAGTTTCTTAAGTCGACAGAATTTATGAAATCCAAGCACAAAGTCTAAGGACATTTTTTTATTTCTATTCGCAGTGCCGTATTAAGTTTTTTTTCTAGATTCTTAATTGACACATCCTGTGATGCAAGGTAATTTTTGTGCAATTGTTTTCAAGTCAAATGGTTTTATTTTTTTCTTTTAGCAATACCAAAGCACACAGAGTTTGCATTTTTATGTATTTAAGGCTGTTCTTATTTACAGTGACAATTTTGTATTCCATGTGTAAGCTAACATACGGTTCTGGTCTTCCTTTGTTCTGTAACATCCATAATATTGTAACTGAGTTTTGATATTTATCAGTTTCATTGTTCATACTTATCTATGCTGTAATTTGTGTATTTGTTATTACAATATAACTATAAAAGTGTACATGAGCATTTTTTCCTGCGTCCTTGAAGCCACTGATGTAGGAAAGTTTGGGCGTAGACAGAGTTGTTGCACTGACTGAGTGGTGTCCTAGACTTGAGCGTTTAGTAGACCAGTGCTTGCCAACCTCGCCTATTTGGTGATTTGGATGTGTGGTTGGGGTCACGCGGGTGGTGACAGAGGTATTGTTTAACTCTTTGCCGTCTTATCTCGCCGATCGGCCA